CCAGGAGCTCCTTCATGAGCATTAGGGGGTGGTTGAGGAGGACGTTTGGCGCTAACTCCTTGGTGCCACATCCCAGAGCCGAGCAGGGCCTCCCCATCATGGCAGAAGGAAAATCTCTTTGCTCTCCTTGTGTTTCCCCTCCATCCTCTGCACACAGAGTGGGTTCTGCCCATGAGAAGGGAAGCCCAGAGCAGCCGCGTTGCCTGTGATAGCCACCAAGAAAACCGCAAACCACAAGAACCAAGTGCCCCAAACACCTTCCCTGCCCTTTGCTGCCCCAAGGTGCTTGAAAGAGCAAGAGAAAAAATTGTTGCAGTTGTTCCCTGGGGATGGATGAACCAACCACTCCTCTGCAAGGACAGCTGAAGCCATCCCAGGGATCCCATCCCCATTTCCTCCCAGAGATCCTACCAGGATCCAAGGTGTTCAAAAGAGGTGTTCAAAAGAGCAAGAGAAAATATTGTTGCAGTTGTTCCCTGGGGATGGGCAAACCAACCATACCTCTGCAAGGACAACTGAAGCCATCTAAGGGATCCCATCCCCATTTCTTCCCAGAGATCCCATTCCCATTTCCTCTCAGAGATCCCATCCCCATTTCCTCCCAGGGATCCTGCCAGGACACATCTCCATGGATGACACCCCACAGATGATGTGCTACCAGCACATTCCCTGTCTGTTTGCTTCTCCCTCTTCCAAGAGGGATCATTTGCTTTCCAAACCATCCACTGGGTGCCCACAAGCTCTCCAAGAGCAGGCTGACCCCCCCATCACCCAACCCCTGTTACCTGCGTGGATGTGGCTGATATCCAAGCTGCAGGAGTGGGGAGCCATGGGGAACGTGACCTTGACCAGGTTCCAGCCCCTTCCCCTCTGCTGGAGTCGCTGCTGGAACTTTTTTGGAGCAAATCCCATAGGAATGCTGTGCACATCACCAAGGCCCATCAGCTGCTCCTCCCAGGGGTTTTGGGACTCTGCTCCTGCAGCCTGGCTGATGGTGGAGCACAAACTGATTTCCCCTGGTACAGGCTGTTTCTTTCTCTTCTCACAGAGGGTTTAGTTGTAGAGAAAAACATATCAAAAACATAATTACTTGTCCTTTTCCTCTCCCACCCTCCACAGAACCGATATCAAAATAACTCCTCAATAATATACATATTTATTTTCTCTTAATTAGTGCCGATATTTACAAAAATTGTGATACTCTGTGAAGAATAAATTATATACACTGATGATAAACCAGACAGCAAATGCTCATTTGGATATGTATGTACACAGCTCTGTATACCTATATACAACAGGCGGCCTTATTGACTCGGGGGCCCCCAGCCCCTTCCCACGCCCCCCCAGCTGTCAATAAAGCAGGAATTTCTATAAACACTGTGCAATTCAGATCCAGCTGGTGTCTAAAGTTGTGTCTAGCAAATGCATGGTTAAATGACTTGAAATTCCCACGAGTCCTCCTTTAACAGTTTATAGGCCTCTCTCCATTCCTGGTCCCATTTCTCCTGTAACCATGGAAACAAAAGGTTCAGCTCCAGCATCCTTAGGATGAGTCCTTCTTGGATTTCCTCTTCCTATTGATTTGCTCAAATTAGGCACCACATGCAGGGTTGATCCAATACCCATTTTTTCCCCTTGCGCTTCGGGGATGACATTGGAGGACAAGAGCACAGTCTCAAACAGTGAGGGAGCAAGTGCAAATGGATAATTACATCTTATAGGCAGCAGAAAAAATTAAAAAATAGTAATAATCAAAAAACAAACCCCAGAATACCAACCCCAAGCTCAGGACAGCCAGGCAGGGCTGGGGAGAGGACGTGGTGTGTCCATGTGTGAACCTGGTGCAGTTACACAATGTCCAGCAGCTCCTACAAGCCAAACCACCCCCTCTCCGGAGGAAAAACATGAATTAGGGATTTATCTGTCATCATGCATAACTGGGCTGGGGGATCTTGTCCCCGGGTGTAAATCAGTGCTGTGCTCCCAGGGCTGCTTCACCCCCAGGCTGGGTCCTCTCCCCCTGATGGGAGCAGGATGGAGCACACATTTTGGAGCAGGGGGGTGAATTTTGGGCAGCAGAAACATCCCAGGGACACCAGGGCCAGGGGTGCTGACAGGGCTGGGGAAGGGCAGAGCAGTGGCTTGGGTTAACCCTTGTCCCCCCTTGGGGCTCCTGGCAGGGGCAGCAGCTGGTCCCCAACAGGAGGGGATGTCACATGGAGAAGGTCAAACACTGCCAGGGGGCTGAGGAAAGAGCCACAGCCTTCATTTGGGTGCAAACCAGAATGGTTTTTGGGGCTGACTCCTTTCCTCAGCCTGCTTCACCCCTGCAGCAGCCTGACCAGCTCCCATGAGTGACCACCATGGATAACTCCCATGGATAAACAACCCCAAGGATGTAGACCTGGAGTAAGGTCTCATGGGAAAGATCTGGAAAAAAGGTTTAAAGGCCAGGCTGGACAGGGCTTGGAGCAGCCTGGGCTAGTGGAAGGTGTCCCTGTCCATGGCACAGGGTGGAACAAGGTGAGCTTTAAGGTTCCTCCAACCCAAACCATTCCAGGAATTTGTGATAGCACCACCCTGGCTCCAGAAAGGAGCCACCGCATTGGGACCAAAACTCACCATAGCTTAAGAGATTTAAAACCCAACCATAACAAACAATAATCCCAAAGGCCACTCGGTGCAGATAGCACCTGCAACTCCCCCAAATCCCTTCAACCCTGCTTGGCTTTCCCAGCACAGTCACAGACACGTGACTGGCACAAGCCAGGACTTGGGGCTGGGAACAGAGACCCTGCAAAGCTGCTGTTTGCAGAGGGGTGTGAGGAGCTGAATGCCACCAGACCCTCAGGATCCTCCCACTCCCAAGGCAAGATCCAGATCTCCTTCCCTTGGATCCATCCCCGAGTATATTGCAAGCTCTGGAAAAGCTACAAGGCTTTGGCAGCAGTTTCAAGGGCTGACCCAGGAATTATCTAATAACAAAGCAAGGTCCTTCCTGAAATACCTCCTCCTCCTCTGTCTTTTTCTCTCCTTCTGTGTATTTATGCACAAATATGCCCATATTTATACACCCACGTGCCACACTCTCATAACGCCAATCCAGAGATCCTTTTCTTCTTATAGCTCAGCGTTCAGATCTGTAGGACTTTGACACAGTCACTGCAGGGATTAATTTTCCCAATAAAACATCGTGCTCCAGAGAGATCATTTTTTCCCTAATCACTTGGAAGCATCCAGCTGGCACACGAGCCTCACCCCATTGCCCCCAGCAGATATTCTGGAAGATTTGAAAGGGCTGATGGGCTGCCTGCAGGCTTGGGCACGAGGTTGGGTGTTAGGAGACAGCTAGCTCTGCAATCACAGCTTTCCATCTCTCCAGAACCGTGGCACAGTGGCTAAAACTAAAATAGAGGCGCTGCCTCCTCCGGGTGCCAAGGCAGGAGCACCTCCACAAACCAGAGAGCTCCAGGCTTCCATTCCAGGCCTGGAGAGAGGGAAATGGCTCCTCAGGAGGAGGAGGAGAGGAACCAGACTAGCTCTGTTTAGGGTCCTGATGGACTCTAACACAGCTATGGGACCATCCCCTTTCCCAATCCCTAATTTAGCATCCTCAGTCTGAGCCACTTTGCAGCTCATTTTTGCACCTTTCAGAGTCAGGAGGAGATGGGGATGCTCAGCATCTCCACAGAAACAGGCCCAGACTCTCTCAAACCACATTCCTTAGGAAAAAAAAATAATTTAAAAAGAAGAAAAAAATATCACAGTCTCCTCCTGAAAAACTGGTTCAAGATCACATCAGTGAGTCAGAAGCAAAGCTAGAAATAGCACTAGAGCTCCGACCTGCAGGCACAAATCCCATTAAAAGCTGTAGGGGAACCATTTCTCTGTGAGAGGCAGAAGTCTGGACCCCTCTGCTCTGTGCAGCCACGGATCCCTCCCAGCCATGGCCTGCACCCACCCTGAGCACTGAGCCTGGGCATTAATTTCCATTGTGCCCCACACAAGGGCAGCCCAGAGCTCTCCCACCAGGGTGGTTTTCCCCAGGAACATCTGCCAGGGTCAGGGCAGGAGGTGCAGGGTCTGTCCCAAGGGAGGGACTGGCTGTGCTGGCCCTGCCATGGGGACAGTCATCGCCTCACTCAGTGACAACAGCAGTGTGGCCTCTTGCTCTTCATCCCCATTTGCCCCTGCTGTGTGGCTGTGGAGCCTCCCAAGGCAGCCAGGACTCCCCAGATTGGAGATTGGGTTTGGATGTTTGGATCCTGCTCATGGATCCACTCTCCCCTCCTGCCTGGCCCACAGGAGCACCGTGCCCAAAACCACACCTGCCCAAAGGAAAACCTCACCTTCCTCCTCACCAAACCACCACAGCACACACCCAGAGCTTTGGCCAACACCGCTCCAAACCACCCCAAGCCCACAGTGGATGTTCAACAACCAGACACTTCTCAAAGTACCACAGAGCACCAGCATCCTCCAGAGAACCTGCAGCAAAACCACCAGCAAAACACCTCAGCCCTGACCAGGAATGGGATCAGCTGGTGCTGAGGGCACCCAGAGGATCCCAGCCCATCAGGCAGCTCCCCTGTGCGAGCCCATGTCCCCACAGAGCCACCAGGAGCTGGATCCGTGGAGCTTGGCCAACCTGCCTGGGAATGGTGCCCGAGCTGGTGACTCTCACCAGCCCTGTCCCATCCAACAGGATGAGCTGCAGAACTCGGGATTTATTGCTTTTGGTTGTGTTGGCTTTTTTGTGTGCATGCATGAAGGGGCTTCAGGGTCTCCCTTTCCCAGGCTGCCTCAGCAAAGTGGAGTGCAGGACTCCCAATATAACAAGATCCACTTAAAAACAAGCTGGGGAACCTGAGCATCCCTGAACCCCAACTGAACAGGGATCAGAGCAAGGATGCTGCTGGTCCTCTGCCCCACACAGGAGCAGGGAGTGCCATGCCCAAACTATGGACACTTGGTATTAATTAAAGCCAATCCTTAATCAATCAATCAATCAATCAATCAAATAAAACTGAGGAGTGATTCCACGTGGCCAAGGGGAGCCCCATCAGCACAAGATGGATCCTGCTCTGGAGTGGCATTTGGAGCCATTGCTGTAGATACTTTAGCACCAGTTGGATTATTGGCAGGAGCAGGGGTTTCCTCTCTGAGGAAGGAAGGGTCTGGCTGAGGCCTCCCCAGGCTCCTTGTGCTCACCCTTCATGCAAGGTTTCAGGGCTGATCACACCCCACTTCAGCCCAAATTCACCCCAACTGAACCCTGTTCCACAGCCCAGGGAGGCTTTGCTCATCTGTGACCTTGGCAGAGATTTTCCTCCATCTCCCCTGGCCTGGAAGAGGAGCAGGGCACCTCTCCCTGGGGATTGTCAGCAATGGGGAAAACACAAGCAAACCCACACAGGGATGGGGAAAGCAGGTGAGATTCCCCATGGACCAACAGCTCTCACCCATCCCCAAATAACACCAGGGATGAAGAGAGAGAGCCTCAGGCTCTCTGCACCTTGTCCCATTGCTCTTAAACACCCTGAAAGAAGGCAAAGCAAAGGCTCAGAGATGCCAGCTCAGATCCAGACCACCTCAGCACCTGCCCACTCCATCATAAAGGAATAAACCCCAGCCCTGAGGGGGTTGAAAAGGACCTTTCAAGCCCAAAACACACCTTGCCCTGGCGACCCCATGGGCTCCAGGGTCAGGCCACCTTGCTCCAGCCCATGTCCCACCATCCAGCAGCCCTGAGCTGGGACATCCCGGATACCCCAGGAGCTCTCTTTGCTGAGGATTCGGCCCTGTAGTCGCTCTCTAAATATCTATACACACACACACACTCAGGAATTCTATGGGAACGGCTGAAAACTGCTGAACAAACAAGTCAGGAGAGCTGGAACCTGCTATTCCACCTGCTCCTCATGCCCGCTCCGATCCGCCGTGGTTTCTGCTCCTGACACCACGATTAATGACTAATTACTCGCCCCATAATGAGCGCAGGTGTTTAACTTTCAGCTCACCTTCCCTGGCTTGCATTTGTCAGCTCTTGTGTCCTGATGATCAGACACTCAGGCTCTGCCTTGTTATCTCTCAGGCTTTGCACTGTTATCTATCCAACTGTTGTCAGCACATGCCTTCCCCATCCGGTTTTTAACTATAATGGAGATTTTTTAAATTCCCATGAATCTCCTTCGAGCCACCGGAGAATCTATAAACACTATAAACATGAATACTGTATAGTCTACTAAGAAAATATATATTTGTGTGTGTATTAAATATTCAGATTCATGCAACAAATATCCATGCAGCTGTACTGTATTACTGGTTAAATTTCACTGCAGTATAAATATATTATAGGCCACAGCATAGTTGCTCCAGTTTTATATATAGATATAAAAAAAGATGCTTTTTCCAACTCATTTTCAATGTGTCAGTGGAGGTGTCTTTGGTGATCCTGGAAATATTGATGATGGAAGTGTCATCTAAATAAATAAATAAATTCCAAGCTCTTGATTTATTTACTCGTCCCTCCCGATGCCTGGCATAGAAAATTTAAGACTTAATAAATAATGTGCCGTCATACTAATTATCCCTCCCCTGGGCCTCACACTGGCACACTGCAGTGGCTGAAACTATTGCAGCATGCAGCATTTTCAGTTATGAAACACGAGCCAGGCGCCGCGCTCGCGCTCGGCTCTCCCGGGGCAGGAGCTGAGCCCTCCAGCAGCCCGGCCCCACAGCCACAGCCACCCTCCAGGAGCTCCTGCCTGACCTTCCCCAGCTGCTCCCCGTGCCTGGGAGCTGCCTGTCACCCAGCACAGGCACCAGGATTCAGCCCTGGACCTGCCCCTTCCATCCCCATCCCACTGCTGCTGGAAGCGCCCGTCCCCTCAGCATCTTTGGAAACCCCCGAGCCTGGGATGGGAGAAGTGCAACAAAAATGGTTTGGATTTGTTGGCTTTTTCTTTTTGCACGGACGCTTATTCGGTGCGGAAATCAAAGGTTAAAAGTCACTTACACAGCTATTGCTTCCCATGCAGAACCAAATATACACCGTAGAAAATACTGTATTAACTACAATGCAGAGCAGCACTCAATATCTGCAATTGTTCCACTTCAGCTTTAAATACGGGACTAGATTTTAGCGACTAGACATCGGTTAGCATTTTGGTGATATTCACATAGTTTGTGTTAGCTAGGGTGCAATTGGCTGTCTTCAAGTTCTCCTCCCTAAAATCCTCATTGCTATTGTTTACACCTTCCTGGATCTCCATATAATCAGACTTACTAATAGTAGAGGCACTTCTGCTTTTCTTTAGGTCAGGGGAAGAGGGGATCTTTGGGCAGCTGGTTACTTGCAAATATTGAGCCTGCTCCTCTCCCTCGGTCTCCCGGTGGTAGAAGTAATTGAAGTTAGACACTATGACGGGCACTGGTAAGGCAATCGTTAATACCCCAGCGATGGCACACAAGGAACCCACTATTTTCCCCCCGATGGTGGTGGGGACCATGTCTCCGTAGCCAACAGTCGTCATGGAAACCACAGCCCACCAGAAGGCATCGGGGATGCTCGGGAACTGGGACTCGCTCTCGTCGGCCTCGGCAAAGTAGACGGCGCTGGAGAAGAGGATGACGCCGATGAAGAGGAAAAATATCAAGAGGCCCAGCTCCCTCATGCTGGCCTTGAGAGTCTGGCCCAGGATCTGCAGCCCCTTGGAGTGCCGGGAGAGCTTGAAGATCCTGAAGACCCGCACCAAGCGGATGACTCTGAGGATGGCCAAGGACATGGCTTGCTGGCCCTGCTGGCCATCCTCTGGCTTCTCGGCCAGCTCCGTCCCCAAGGTGATGAAGTAGGGGATGATGGCTACGATGTCTATAATGTTCATGATGTTGGTAAAAAAACCAGCCTTGCTGGGGCAGGCGAAAAACCTCACCAAGAACTCGAAGGAGAACCAGATGATGCAAAGTGTCTCCACGATGAAGAAGGGGTCTGTGAAAGAAGTGGACTGCTGGTACCCCATGCTGCTGTTGGAGTAGGGGGGATGGCTCAGCCCGCTGCCGTGCATGTCTTCGTTCTCATCCCGAAAAATGGGCAACGTTTCCAGGCAAAAGCTGACGATGGAGATTAAAATCACCATGACAGAGACAATAGCTATAATCCTGGCAGGGCCTGAGCTCTCGGGGTACTCAAAGAGCAACCACACTTGTCTCTGAAACTCGTTCTCGGGCAGCGGCCTCTCCTCTTCCTTGATGTAGCCTTCATCCTCCCGGAACATCTCCATGGCCTCTTCCCCCAGCTCGTAGAAGCGGATCTCTTCGGAGAAGATGTCCAAGGGCACGTTAACCGGCCGCCGCAACCTCCCCCCGGACTGGTAATAGTACAAAATGGCATCGAAGCTGGGTCTGTTCCGGTCAAAGAAGTACTCGTTCCGGAGAGGGTCGAAATACCTCATCCTCTTTTTGGGATCCCCTAGCAAGGTCTCTGGGAACTGGGCAAGTGTCTTGAGCTGCGTCTCGAAGCGCAGCCCCGAGATGTTGATGACCACCCTCTCACAGCACTCATGGTCGGTCTCGGGGTTGTACGTGTCCTGCGGGTGACCGGGAAGAGCTGCAGCTTCATCTGCAGGATCTCCAGTGGCAACTGTCATTATTGGGCTTTAAAAGAAATCCTTATGCTAAACTCTTCCCAGCGCCCGGCGGTGGGATCGGGTTCAGGGCAGGGCTACTATCCTGCAGAAGGACAGGTACGTAGGTTTGGAAGAGTCTCATGAAAAGGCGAAGGGATGAGATAAAAACAGAGGAAAAAAACAAAAAAAAAAAAAAAAAAAAAAAAAAAGAAGAAGGAGAAGAAGAAAGAAAATCGCCCCTGCTGAGAAAGAGAGAGATGGAATAAAGTTGGTGGGAGGAGAGCAGATCCCTTCTCTAGCACGTCTATCCCCTTCCTGGAGGGGTTAATTTGCCTTCCTTGGGACAGAGTTCAACAACTCCCATCTAAACCCATTAGGTGGAACAGAGAAAACACCTGAGGAACTGTCACCTGTTCAAAACCAGCGTGGAAAAACTGGCCTGGGTAAACCAGGGCTTATTTTTTTGGCTAAAAATAAAAATTCCAGTTAAAAAAAATAAAGAGGGGGAAGGGAAGAGAAAGGAAGGAAGAAAAATAACCCCATCCAGCCCTGACGTGGCGAGAGGACCCCGCAGGGTGCCGGGCTCAGCTCATTTCCAGGCATGCAGCTAAGGGTTAATTAACATTTAACCGTGCGATCTCAGGCAATCTACCCTCCAGGAAAGCTCCAGCTCCGCTTTTAAGTTTTAACACCTTCCCAATCCTCTTTCCCTGGTGTCATGCTGCCCTCCCTGCCTGCAGCCGAGCTCTGCGGCTGCCGGAACGTGGAGCCCGCGGTCGCAGCTGCCCCGCGGAGCACCGCAGTCCCCCTCCTCGAGCGCTGGTGTCCCGGCTCCTGTCATCCTCTGCAAACCACCATGGCACACAGAAAACAAATCACATTACCTGGAGAAGCCAAATCTTAGTGTCTCTTAGTAACACCGATTATCTGACCCCTGGGGAAATCCTAGAGAGAAATAGAGGCTTCCAAGATCCCCATAATTTCCTCTCTCTTCAAAGTTAAAAATAATGGTGAGTCATCGTAGAAAAAGGAGAAGGGGCATAAGAGGGGTTAGATTCCCAGATGGTGGAAGTCAGGTCTTGTAATGGTTTGGACTGGAGAGAGAGAGAAAGAGAGACAGAGAGACAGAGAGACAGAGTCTTCCCGGGAGCTGTTGCAGATCTGCACTTCAGGGCAGATGAGCGTCTGTCTGATGCCTTCGGTGAGACGGTGAAAAGCTGCTAAGCTCAGCAAAACCCGATGTCCCCAGTGTCCTCGGGAGGTGTGGCATCGCCTGGAAAAAACACCGAGAAGGTAGCAAGCTGCGGGGGTCCGCCAGGAGCATCCGCAAAGCCGCGGCTCCTCCGGGCACCCCGCTTTTCCCCCGGCCGGGCGGGAGCTGCCCGCCCAACCCGCACTGCAACACGAGAGAGAGAGAGAGAGAGAGAGAGAGAGACGAGGCGGAAAAAACCAGAGCCCCGTGTCCCTGCGCTGTGCTCAGCCCAGCGGGGCCGGCTGCCCTCCGAGCCCGTGCCAGCGGGAGAGCGGGGGGGACAGCGACGCAGCCCCCCCGGCTTGGGGCTCTGCAAAGCCACCCAAGGTCCCGGGGGTCGGTGTCACCCACCGGGCACAGCACCCACGGTGGCTGTGTGGCGTTCCCCGGTGGCTCAGGAGGCTCCGGTTTCACCCACCGGAGCAAACCCCTCGCCGGTCCCCGCTTGTCCCCCCGCCAAGGCCAGCAGCCCCTCGGTGATGGCTCCGAGCACCCACGAGCAGCGGGACCCACGCGAGCTGCATCCACCCTCCCCATCCTGCCGAGAGCCAGCCCCCCCCCGGGCCGACCCACCCCCGTGGGAATTCGGCTCCGCTGGGTCAAATTCCTGCTGGGGATGTCGAGGCTCATGTCCCCCCGGTGGGCGCCGGCTCCTCAGCATCCCTGCTCCGGATCATCCTGCATTGCCTCGCACCACGGAGATGCTCAGCCCATGGGAGAGGGCCGACCAGCCGCTCATTTTTTTCGCCTTTTAAAATTTTTTTTCTCCCCCCCTCCCAAATGAAATAAAAACCCCTCTAACCTCCCTTCTTCAGCTCCAACTCGACTTGTCTACTTTGAGCCAGGATTACAGAACCGGGCAGGGGAGGCAGGTGGAAAATAACCCCGCGGTCCCAATCTCCTCGGCAAACATTTCAGCCATCTCCAGGCCATTTACGCCTGTGGGTTCCTCTCTTCATCCCCCGAGGTGCAGATATTGCCGCAGATGCCTCTTTTCTTGGAAATTTCCCTTCTCCGTGCAACCCTCCTCTCCCTTCTCCTTATGCACTAGAAAAAATAGTACAACCCTGACGAGGCTTGCAGCATTCAACCGCTTCTCTTAACCCTTTTCTGCCAGGCCCGGAGGAGAGGAGGTCGCGTTTGTCCCAGTTTTTATCCTTTTCCTGCATTTCCTCCCCACCACTCGCTCCCCAGCGGCTCACCAAGGAGTTCAGCTGGATTTGACCTTCCCTGGCTCCTCCGAGCATCACGCCAGAACACCACAAACAACATCTTCCCGCTGCTGCAGGAAAGATCTGGCAGCCACCAACCTCCATCTCACCAAAGATCAACCAACCTTCAATGTTTTATTCATTATTTTTTTTTAAATAAACACGCCGTTTTCCTCCTGCCCATAAACTCTCTCCTCCCCCTTTCTCCCTTCCCCAAACACCCCGGGTTTGTTTAACAGCACAGAAATTTAGTTTGTTTTTATTTGACATGTTGATTTTTATTTGGCACGGGCTCTGGGCTTCTTCCTCCGGCTCCAAATCAGAGCGCCGATGCTCGGTGCGGTTTTACGGCATCGTCTCAGCTGACATCACCCATCCCAACACTCAGTTTCTCCTACTTTCTCCCCATCGCAAACAACACCTTCTCAAGCATCTTTGGGGTTAATTCATGCAAATTTGGGGGGATGGAGGAGGTGAAGATTTGCCCAAAGCCCCTCAGTTTGTTCTCCGCCCCGCACTGAGCACTGCGGGCGGGAGTCGCAGGATTCGGGGTCGTGTTTGCGACTCAAGCACGACTCCCTCGCTTTGCACCGCTCCTGCCAGGCTGTGTTCGAGCAGAGAAAAGGGGGAAGGATGCAGGGATGGGGTGGAGGGGAGAGAAAAAGGCTCAACCAACTTACACTGGGCTCTGCAGTCGGGCATGCGGAGAATGCACAAGCAGCTGCTCTGCTCCCGCCGCTGCCGGCACCTCTCACCCACAGCCCCCCAAACTCCTACCCGGGAGTCAACCTCTGAAGGCAGCTCAGCTTCCCCATGAATATTCATGAGCGTCTTCCCCCCCCTCCCTCCCCGTCCACCGCCCCCCGCAGCCCTCCTCCCATGCAGGAGACCTAGATTTCAACCACTGGGAAATAATCATATCCCTGGATATCCCTGGATACACGGGGCTGCTTTGCCATGCGCCTCCAACCCATCCCGTGCTCTTGGTGACAGCCTGGATCTGCTCAGGGGACATCTGAGGGCTGCAGAAACACCCTGCAGCTCTGGGGAAGGAGATGGGGCAGGATTGGACCTGCAGGAGCTGGGGTGAGGAGGTGAAAAGCAATAATTTTATATCACTTTGCATCTACTGAGGTCTCTTCATCTCCCATCGCAAAGGAAGGAGATGGCCAAGCTCATACCAACATATAGGACCTATAAATCAACCCCTGCCTTCAGGAATGAGGTTTGGACCACTCTGCCATCCCCTCGTAGCCCCACAAGGAGCACCAAGGAAGCAACAAGTCCCTCAAGGCTCCTGGCACCCAAGGCATGAATGCTGGAGGAGGCAATGGGAAATATTTCTATTACCATATAGAGCAGTCAGGTTTGCATGGAGTTACCAGAGCCTACACTGATCTCTCCAGGGATCAGTGAGGTGGGATGAAGGGCCTGGAACACCCTGAACACCTGAGAAAATCAGTGCTCAGTGTGGTGCCCAGTCATCCAGGGGAATGTGGGGACTTGCTAGGGATAAATCCCAGTATTTAACTCCTCACCTTGGAACAAAAATTGTATTTTCCCAAGCCCCAGCCAGATAATTGATATTGAAAATTAATGTCTAAACCTATAGGAAAACTGGGAATCCTTCACAACCAGGCCTGGCACTGTGGGTTTCCTTGGGGAGGAGGACACCCTGGGTTTTTAATGTCAGTTACACCATTTTAGCCTTTTCTGGAGGCAGATCTGCCACGCCAGGGTGGGCTGAATGCAGAAAATGACGTGCCCAAGGCTGCTCCTTATGCAATATGTAGAAACTGAGGCTGGGCATGGAACAATTCAAGTGGAGCTGAATTTCCAGCGTGCTCCTCCTTGTGAAGGCTCTGCAGAACCAGGGGGATTCGTCACCCAAACAGCACCAGCTCCGTGCAAAGAGCCAAACTCCCGTCTCCAGCAAATCAGGGGAAATTCTCTGAATTGAGTGACGCTCTCTCCTGATTTACTACCCTAATTGTGAGCTATTATTATCATGCCTGTGTCTGCACCCTCCTCCCCCAGCCGTGCTGACAGCTCCAGACGGATCCCAGCCTCTCGGAGCACCAGGAGAGATGAGCTCTGCACCCACTTGGCTCTTTCACAAGGATTTAACAAGATGATGCCTTTGCTCGGTGTTATTATGAAATAATAATTCCCTCCTGAATTATTTCTCTCATCTCAATGGGTTTTATAGGCACCCAAACTGGAATTTGTACCCTGCGTGCGTGTGTGGTGCTGGGAAAAGCACTCGGTGGGAGGATGTTCCAGGAACCAGGAGATCCTGTGGCCTGGTGATCTCTCCTTTCCTTTATAGCCAGGGATGCCCCCAAGGGCTGTTCTGACCCTCTGTGGGTTTGCCCCACAAAAAGCAAAAAATAATAAAATATAAATAGCAAAAAATGTGATTTCAGCCCTTTTTCGCCCGTATCCTGCTGGCAGTGGGGCTGGGAGATGCTCCTGGAAATGGTGCTGTGGGAGAGGGATGAAAGCCACAGGGCAGGGTTGTCCCCAGGCCTGGCCTCATCCAGAACAGCTGAATTCAAGTCCCAGGATCATTGGAAAGCCCAACCCACAGCCAGCCCCACTGCTCAGGGCACCCAGGGTGGGACAAGCTCCCCAAAGAGGACAGAGCCTGTGCCAGCACCTCCACACCTCCTGCACAGCCTCAGACCATGGCAATGCTCTGGTGTCCCTCCTGGGGACCCCATCCCACCTCCTGCAAAGCCAGAAGGAATTTGAGGGCTGGAGCAAATGGCCACAGCCATTCTGGATTGGGGATCCAAGCACTGCCCAGCTTGGGGTCGGGCAGGGCCGAGCACTGAGCCCCATCTCCATGTGACACCGGTTCTCCAGCTGAAGGTGTTGACATAACTGGGCCTTGTGTCATCTCAGGAGCTGTGAGAGCTGTGAGTGAGCTCCCAGGGCTGTGATTCACCCTGCAGGGAAAGCATCCGAGCTCCCACCCGCTGCTGACGTCAGGGCATGGAGCTCCTGGACCCCCAGCACCCCCTCACCCCCCAGGAGACATCTAAAAATGTCACAGGAACACGGTGACACGGAGCCAGCTCTGCTCTGCCAGGGCAGGGGCTGCTGGAGAATCCCAAATTTCCCTGGTGGGATGGGGCACAGAGGCTTCCCCCATCCTGGGAGATGGGGAAAGGGTTGGGATTTGTCCGGAGTGATGTGGGGAAGGAGGAGCAGAGCAAAAAGAGATAATGGGCAGGGCTGCTTGTCCCTGGGAGAACGTCCTGGACCTCAGGAAAATCTCCTGGAAGGATCTCCTGGATCCTGGGAGCATCTCCTAAACCCTGGGAGAATCTCCTGTATCCTCAGGATCTCCTGGATCTTGAGAGAAACTCCTGGAACCTGGGAGGATCTCCTGCATTCTGGAAGGATCTCCTGGTTTCTGAAGAGATCTCTTGGTCCCTGGAGATCCTCTTGGGTCCTCCGTGCTTCTCCTGGTCCCTGGAAAGGCACAAGTGCTGAAGGGAAAACAGCAAAAATCACCTCTCTGCAGAGGTGACATTAAACACATCCCTCATTGTGGGCTGTGGCACCCCAAGGTGAGGGGGAGGGGATGAACACCAAGATGAAGAGGAGGTGATGAACACCTGGATTTCCTCTCCCTCCGGTCTGGCCCAGCCCATTCCCATCTCCTGGTGGAGCATCCCCCTTCCTCCAGTTGTAAGGGGCTTTTCTGTCATTCCAGAGGTTGGTGCTCACTGAGGAACGGGGAAATGGGGCCAAAAGCTGAAACCTTCTGGTTGTTGAGATTAGAGAAGGAAAGACTGAGGGGAAATGGAAGAAACCTGCAGGAAATGGCCAAAACCTCAGCTGGAGATGAGCAGTGTCTGCAGACAGATGTCCTTTGCCTGGGGGGAGCTGTGGGTGACCTCAGGGTCCCCCCTGCACTGCCCTGGTGGGACACAGCTCCCTCCAGCCTCAGCCCTGGGGCTGGTCCCCATGAAGGTGATGGCCAGGGTGGAAACACCTCCCTGACAGCCCAGATGGGATGAGCAGCCCTGCAGACGCTGTTTTCAGAGCCTGTGGGTTCAGCCCGAGTGTCTGCTGGTGCTGGGAGGGGGCCAGGAGCTGCTGACAGTCAGATCTGAGCCACGGGGTGGGATGAGATGTTCCCATCACCCCAGAGTTTCCTCCCTCCCCAGGGAGCTGCAGGACTGCAAACAAGCTGGGAGGGAAAGTGCTTGGAGAGGATGATTTCCCTCTTCTCCTCCTCCCACACAGAGCTGCTGCAGGGAGGAGAAGCCAAGGGCTGAGGCTGGGAGTGCCTTCCCCAGGGCCTGGGCATGGTGGTGATGTGGGCAGGGTGGTCATGGTGGCACCGTGGGCAGGGGTCAGACATGAGATAGTCCTGAGTGGGATGGTCACAGAGCTGGCCAAAGTCCTGGGCTCTTATAGGACATGCCAGCCCTGTGGCCATGCCAGATGAGGAGCTGTGCCAAATCATGGAATCCCAGAAAGGTTTGGGTTGGAAGGAACCTTAAAACTCATCTCATTCCACCCCCTGCCATGGCAGGGACACTTCCACTGTCCCAGGTTGCTCCAAGCCCCATCCAGCCTGGACTTGGGCACTGCCAGGGATCCAGGGGCAGCCACAGCTGCTCTGGGCACCCTGTGCCAGGGCATCCCCACCCTCACAGGGAGGAATTCCTTCCTTGTATCAAATCTAAATTGAACTCTTTTAGTTAAAATCCTGGGTTATGCCCAACCTGGCCTGTGCCAGGTTCTGAGCCGTGCCAAACCATGAGCTGTGCCAAGCTGTGAGCCACACCCAGCCAGATTGTGCATGGTGCCAGTTTGGGAGCTGTGCCAGATTCTGGGCCAGGCCAGCCCACTCTGCCTTTCCTCAATGTCTCCAGAAGCCCCCAGCTGCCCTCACCCTGT